GATAGATAGATAGATAGATAGATAGATAGATAGATAGATAGATAGATAGATAGATAGATAGATAGATATGCCGATATGGAGCGATTTTTTTAAGCATATTCTATGCTCTGTACCCTGATTTAGACAACGTTTAATTTACCTATACTCGGAGTTGCATGCAAAATAAGCAGCGAATTCATTTTATAAAATTATTTACTTTGTTATCTATTTAATTTGTTCATTTACACAACTATAAGAGGTAAAGAGAAGCCGACTGGACTTTCTGATCTAGTGTGACCGTGGCACATTTGTAAGAAGGCAATGTAGCGCAGGAAGAATGTCATCGCTTTTTCATTTATGAGTAGATATTCGACACCCTGGTTCGAGTCCCGCCGGGAGTGCGGACGAGTTCGAGTCCGTAGTCAAGTCCAGTTCTTCATCGCTATACACAAAATAGGATGAATACGTTTGACATGATAGGTCATTACGTGTTTGCCCAGAATACAAGAATATTTCGTCAACCCGAGCGTCGGAATGGCACCCAACGAAAGCAGACCAACGAGCATCTGCCTACGAATCACCGTCTTTCACATGAGGAGAGATCGTTGCTGGATCTGGTTGAGACCAGCCTTGAAGGCTGGAGGCAACCAGGTCTGGTTGAATGGGGAACTAGTACAAAGTTGGCCATACCTCGTTTGGCCGCTTGAGCCTTGTTGCTGTTGTGCAGTACGCCAGAGAGGTGGTACAGTTTCGACTTTACAATGGCCACATGATCTAAACCACAAAACAAACTCCTCTAACTGACCCATTTCATACGCGCCCATACACGCCCACAAAATGACTGGGGTTGGCTGGGTGGTGAAATCACGTTTTGCCGAAACCCTGTACAGTATGCTCATGTGGCCAAGCACACAAAGCGGCTATGTACATGCTCACAAGATGTGAAGATGGTGAATTTCATTTCGCTTCGGTTTCGGCGAAAACGGGCAGGACATTTTTGTCTGTCCTACCGCCAGACAGACATGCTTGCCTCTTAAAAAAGTCGAGAAAACAAACAGGATTTTTCATACACATTCTCTATTCATACAACAACAAAAATGAATGAATATGTAAGTATATTCAATGACTGATTGATTGATAACTTTATAAAGAGCTGGTTAGTCATTTTTCATGCTATAACATGTAGTTATGCGTTGGCGTTACTATGCATGTATGTGCAGATGTGGTTGCGGGGCAGCATGAAAGGAAGCAAACAAATCACTCTCAGTCAGGCTATGTATTAACTCAGTTTTGCGGATGTTTACACTCTCACACAGGCACTAAAACCGATTCAAGCATACATTTGCGTGGTGATATGAAAAGAAATTGACAGAATAATTATGTCTCATCTCGATGCAATTCTTCTTTGCTGCAATTGTGAGCATGCACCGATTGTAGGAAAGTGCTGGTTGAGGAAAGGACGGCTCAAATTGTTAACGAATTTCCTCATCTTCTCTTCCGCTATGCCCGATTGATGAGAGAAATTAGACCAATTATCAAAGGTTGTCTGTTGCAAGATCGGATGCTTATGCGTTTACAATCACGTTTGTGATACCTGCTGCCTCAATTAGCGGAGATTAAGTGAGCACAAAATGCTTCCAATTGTTGCTGGGTCCACTGGTCAAAAGGGGCTAAACATTCGGCAGTAACTGCACATGAGATGCATTCATCCTATTTCGTTTAAACTAATAGAATTTTCCCATAATGATATGAGTAGAACTGAAGTTTTCATTCACTTTTACATAGACTTGCTTTCCCAAAAGTTGTTCACATCTGCCCTATGACCAAGGGGCCAAATTGTTAACGTGTCAAGCTCCTATTCTGCACTATCACAGTTCGAGTCCCGCTGGAAGTGTTGATAAGACCGATGCGAGGTCGAAACTGCAGTCCACTCAAGCCGGAATGAGAACAACTTTAGGGAAAGCAAGACAATGTGAAATAGAATGGAAACGTCTGCTCTACTCATATCATTGTGTGGGAATTCCACGTTAAACGAAATTGAGTGAATACATCTCATACTACTGATTTACTGGTAGTCTCGAAACTCTACTCAAATACGAAAAATAATTGACTGGATAGACCGGAAAGAAGAAAAGTCGGCTCAATGCTGCTTCTAGCTATAGTAATGTTGGTTCCACATGTCTGGCGAACACATCAATCTGACCAGATGTTCCCTCAACATGACTCATGAACTGAAGTTAAAACATGCATAGGTTATTGTTGAGCTTACTTCCATTTCGAGTGAAAGTGTTGAGTGAAAAGATTCGAAGATCGGTTCCACCAGAAGACGACGGCGGATTCCACTTGACAAGCTGTTTATTGGCATTCGCGCTGACGCAGTTTCCGAGGTAATCTCCTTCAATTCCGGTGAGAAGGTGCTAATCTTTCGTCGGTCATATGACGGACATCATCAGAGCAAAGTAACCTCGTCACAACAAAATTCAAGCTAACGAGTCAAGAAAATTCACCGGCAGATCCCTTCTGGTAGAACCGACCTTCGAATCTTTTCACGAAACACTTTCACTCGAAAGGGAAGTAAGCTCAACAATTATGAAACAAGAGATTCTTCACATATATAACGTACGTATGGTATGAATCCTTATCAACTTTCTTCTGCCTATACGAAAACCAAGAAATCTATATTCCGGCAAGTCATGTATCAGGTGGTTTGGTTAATACTAGACTCAAAGAAAGTATACACAAATTACATGACCTGATTAAAACCAAAACAAGGACTAGACTATCCCTTTATAGGCTATTTTCGGATGAAGACTTTCTCAAATTGCAAAAAATGGCGCACATTTTGGCGGATAGGATTGATAAGATCCATAGATCTCGACATGATAAGAAATGAGGCTATATAGAAAAAATGATGGCTCATTTAAGTGACTCGTAAAACTTACAGACTTTGACTGAAAGATACTACTGAAAGTCCTAAGGCCAGACTTAGAGAATCGCTTAACGTTTGTGCAAGCAAAGGAGAAATTGAGAAGTGGAAAATGAATTCACGGCTTCAAAGGGAGGCAAGAGCAACCTCGGCTTACGGCCTTCCAAAAGTACACAAAAAGGAGTTACTTTAAGATTGATTGTTAATAATAAGGGTACTGTGATGCATAGGATCTTATGTAGACAACTAAGGAAAGTGGCTGAGTATTGGAAATATTCAGTGAAGAATTCATATAAATTTTCTAGATTATTAGATCAACAGAGTATTAAAGAGGAGGATCCTTTGGTTAGATTTGATGTGGTATCAATTTATAATAACATCCCAGTTCATAAGGCTATTGAGGCACTTACACTCAGCCTAGAGGAACACCCAGAAATTATTAGGGGATCAGAGCGAGGAAACATCGTCACAACCAAATTTCAGCTAACGAGTCAATAAAACTCGCCGGCAAATCCCTTTTGGTGGAACCGACCTTCGAATCTTTTCACCCAACACTTTCACTCGAAATGGAAGTAAGCTTAACAATTATGAAACAAGAGATTTCTCGAAACACAACTTTTCTTCGCATACATCTCTCAAATTAATTGAGATTACTTGAATTGTTAGTCCTTGCGTCATTTAAACAATTACGAAAATTAAAGTTTTTATTCAAGGAGCACAGATTGTCTATAAATATAATCTCCTCGAATTCAAGGCGAAGAAGAAAGTCAAACCAAATAGTAGTTTCGCCTAGTTTATGCGCACTACTTATTAGTTACTATTTACTTTTAAATTGTTCTCTTTAATTAATTGCGATTACTTGAATTGTTAGTCCTTGCGTTATTTAAACAATTACGAAAATTAAAGTT